GGGCCGGCCGTCCCGCCTGCCGACGGCGTGGCGCCGCGGCCGCCGGAGGGCACGAGCGCCGCACGAGCCGAGACGTCCACTGCATCCTCCGCCCTGCGCATCCTGCGCCCCTGCTCCTCTGCCAGAGGTGCCCTCCCCCTCACTTTCCCCCCTCCCTCCCCCCTCCTCCCCCCGCTGCCCCCTCCCCCTTTCCGCCCAGTGTGCCTCCCCCTTCCCCCGTGCCCCCCCCCCCCCCCCCCCCCTCCCCCCTTCCATCGCCCCCGCCCTCCCAGCATCAGACCCAGGCACTCCTGCTTTCCCCCCCCTGCCCTGCCTCTCGGCCTCCTCTCGCCCGCCCCGCGCCCTCCCAGCATCCAGACCCGTCCTCCCTTCCCCGTCCCTCCCCCCCCCCCCCTCCACCCCACTTCGCCCCTCGCCCTCCCCACGAGGCGCGCGAGGCGCGGGGGGCGCGGGGGGCGCGGGGGGGCGCCGCGGGGGGAGACCGCGAGAGCGGCCAGGGCGCAGATTTGTTTTGGTAGTTTGTTCGTTTGTGCGTTTAGGTGCTGGATCGTTGATTGAACTGTGATTGGCTGTTTGCTATTTGATTGTTGAACCCCTTCTCGTTTTGCTTTGTTTGCTTGTTCGTTGTCTTGCTTAGTGTCTTGCCGATTTGCTTATGTGTTGCCTCTGTTTCGGAGTGTTGGGCCCCCTCACTCCGCTCTCGCATTCTCGCCTCGGCGCTGGCTTCACATCATTTTAAATTGAATCTCACGCTCAAGCGTTTCGGGGTTGCGCCCAAACTGGCCACCCAGCGACAACATGATCGACCCACGAACCCGGAAAGGGGTTGAGAACTGCAAGGCATGGAACCGTTTCTAAGGACCTCAATTGCAGATGCAACTGGGCGATGCCAGGGGGACATGCCAGGGGGACGCGCCGCGGAACGTCCCAAGGAACGCGCCAGGGAACGTGCCAAGGGACGTGCCATGGGGACGCACCGCGGAATGTGCCAATGGGACGCGCTGCGGAACGTGCCAATGGACGTGCCACTGGACGTGCCAGGGGACGCGCCGCGCGACGTGCCAGGGGGCCTCGCCATGGGACGCGCCACGGAACGTGCCAAGGAACGTGCCAGACGACGCGCCAGGGAACGTGTCAGGGAACGCGTCAGGGAACGTGCCACGGGACGTCCCTGACCCAGGGCCAGGACCCCTGGTAAATTATTCTGCGTCCGCGCTCTCAGGGCCACGATCCATCGTAAATTATCTACGCTGCGGCCGCGCTCCCAGGGCCACGATCACTCGTGAATCAAATTGCGTCCGCTCTCCCTGGGCCACGATCTCTTGTAAACTACGCTGCGTCCGCGCTCCCAGGGCCGCGCTCCCTAGTGAATTTGCTGCGTCCGCGCTCCCAGGGCCACGTCCCCTAGTAAATTACTCTGCGTCCGCGCTCCCAGGACGACGATCCATGCTAAATTACGCTGCGGCCGCGGCCACGATCCCTTGTAAAGTACGTTGCGTCTGCTCTCCCTGGGCCACGAACCCTTGTAAACTACACTGCGTCCGCGCTTCCAGGGCCGCGCTCCCTTGTGAATTACGCTGCTTCCGCGCTCCTAGGGCCACGTTCCCAAGTAAATTACGCTATGGTCGGGCTCCCAGAACCACCTGGGCATCCTGGGGCGCCCAGGCCGCTCGAGTTCTGCAAAACAAACGGTTGGCTCGAGATATCCTCGACATTCCTCCGCGCGGGACGCGCCATCCTCGAGCGGGCACCCAAAAGTGAACGCTTCCAGACTTTTGAAAAATATGAGGTCCTCCATACCTCGTGTTTTATCGTAGATTCTGCGCAACACGCTCCGCACCCTGTCTTTCACAAGGGAAAACGTGTGTTTGCGGACCCAAATATGAATCGAGGATCCGAAATAAACGGGGCACATTTCCTCGACCGGGCACGCGCGAAACGCATAATTCCCACGCCGAACTGGACTTTCCTTTGTTATGGACTGAGCGGAAATTCGCCGGCCCGCTTCAAGTCATGGCCGTGGGGAGTCAAGTGACTAGGAGAAAACCCTGGGCCGGAGCTCTTTTAGAGAAAAAAACACACCTGCTTCGTCAACGTCGGAGGTACTACGCCATCGTAGGCATCATCCACACTTTTTGAATGGCCCGGCCGCTCCCCTATACCCCTTCCCTCCTCCGCTAGATTCAGTTCCCCCCCTCTCTCCTCCCCCCATCTGGAAGGGCCGAGCTCCAACACGGGCTCGGCGCGCTTCCGCCTCGTCGGCCCGCGCGCTGCGCGGGCGTGCCGGGGCGGAGGCGCTCGAGATCGCCGCGCGGCGTTGCGAGGGAGAAAGAGAGAGAGAGAGAGAGAGAGAGAGAAACAGCAGGTGCAGGAGCGTGACGACGACGACGTCGTCGTCGTCGTCGCCGTCGCCGTCGCCGTCGCCGTCGCCGTCGCCGTCGCCGTCGCCGTCGTCGTCGTCGTCGTCGTCGTCGTCGTCGTCGTCGTCGTCGTCGCCATCATCGTCGTCGTCATCGCCGTCGTCGATGTGAGCCGAGGCGCCGGGGCGCCCGCGCGGCGGGGTTGAGGGGCATCGGCTCCGACACGCCGTGGGACCACTGCACCTCGAGCAGCCGCCACCGTTCCTCGCCCGCCGCCGGAGCGGGGCAGCGGGCTCGAGGAGGGGCAGGGGGGAGGAGGAGGAGGAGGAGGAGGGGGAGGAGGAGGAGGAGGAGGAGGAGGAGGAGGGAGGGAGGAGGAGTAGGAGAGGAGGAATATTAGGGGAGGATGAGGGTGGATTGTAGGTTGAGGATTTTTTTATTATTAGTATTAGTAGTGAGGATTTGAGGATTTTTGGTTTATTTTTAATGTTGAGGAGGAGGGGAGTGGGAGGAGTCGGTGTCTTGGGGGCAGTGCGTTTTGTGGGTTTAGGATGAGGGGGAGTAAGGGGAGTAGGAGGAGGAGTAGGAGGATTAGTCGGCGGATTTATGGGGGGAGGATTTTTTAGGGTGGTGTGAGGGGGAGGAGGATGATGGGTGTGATAGGAGGATGGGAGCGAGGTAATGAGGAGGGTGGGGGATTTTAAGGAGAATGGGGAAGGGGTGGTAGGAGTGAGGAGGAGGAGGAGTAGGAGGAGGAGGAGGAGGGGAGTGGAGGAGGAGGAGGAGGAAGATGGAGGAGGAGAGAGGAGGAGGAGGGAAAAAGGAGGAGGAGGGGGAGGAGGAGGGAGGGGGGAGGGGGAGGAGGAGGAGGGGGAGGAGGAGGGGGGAGGGGGAGGAGGGGGTTTAGGTGGGAGGAGGAGGGGGAGGGGGAGGAGAAGTGGGAGGGGGGAGGAGGAGGAGGAGGGGGATGGGGGAGGGGGAGGGGGGAGGGGGCAGGCGGGCCCAGGCACTCTCGCGTCGTGAAGCCGACGGCAAAGACGGTGGGCAGTTCCTGGCCGTGGTCGGCACCTGGGCCTCCTGGGTGCCCTCGCAGGGCCTCGGGGCCTCCGAGACTGCTCAGGATGAACGCCTGGTCTTGGGGAAGGAGCCGAGACCTCTGGGAGAAGGAAGAGGCACGCTGCGAAGTGGCAGGAGGCACGACTGAGCCAGCCGCGTGCCCTTGGGTCCTGCGGTCGCCTCGCCCCTCGGGGCTGCATTCCGGCCAGCGCTGCGTCATCGCAGCTTCTCTCCGATTGCTCTGTCGTCTCTCGTCCTCCTGCTCCTCCTCCTCCTCCTGCTCCTCCTCCTCCTCCTCCTGCCCCTCCTCCTTCTCCCGCTCCTCCTCCTCGTCCTCGTCCTCCTCGTCCTCGTCCTCGTCCTCCTCCTCCTCCTCCTCCTCCTCCTCCTCCTCCTCCTCCTCCTCAAGATCCGCTGGCCGCCAGGGGGGCGCCAGGCTGTAAAAACATGCTGCTGGCCTGCTGCCCTGCCTTCTCTGTGTTGCCGCTTGCCTCGTGGCTCTCGCTGGCGGCGCGCAGAGGGGGGCCCGAGCAGGGGGAGCCGCCTCCTCGGAGGGAGGCTGCTCCTTGGAAGGCGCCGGCCTGCCATCTGCAGACAAGGCTCGCGCCTTCTAAGAAGGAGGGGTGCTTCTAAAATAAAACGACGCGAAGATCGGGGCAAAATCGGATCGGGATAACTCGAAATCTCTGAGAATCGGCGGGTTTGGAGGATGTATTGGGCGCCGCGGCCGCTCCAGAGCGTTCCGGAACGCTCTGAGAGCGCTCCGGAACGCTCTGGAGCGATATATCCCGATCTCAGCCCTGTTTTACTCCCCCTGCCCCCCTCTGCGCGTGGCCGCTCTTGCCTCTCCATTCCAGTCTCCCTCCGAACGTCTACTCGGGAGGGGGCGGCGACCTCAAGAGGGCACCCTGGGCTTGGGGGCCTCAGCCTCCTGCCGCTCCCGCTTGCCCGAGAGGCTCTCCCACAGGGACGCCGCCAGACGGGCGGGCGGGCTTGGCCCAAGAGTCCTCCAGGACAGGGGCGAGCATGGTGTCTCGAGGAGATTGGCTCAGGATTCGGCTAGGCGTAAGAGTGACCCTGGGTAAGAGTGACCTTTGGTGCGCAGCTGTTGGGGGCGCGAGGGAGCCAAACCCAAGGGCGCAGGCCGCTTATATCGCATCGCGCTCGGCGATCGGGGGCAGCCCGATAAGCCCGCACCAAAGGTCACTCCAGCGAAAGGTCACTCTTACGTGTAGTCGAAGGATGCGTTCTAGGAGTTCCAGGGCATCTGGCGGCACAGCCGGCGCGAAACATGCGGAAATGTGGGGGGTCCTGGAAGCCTGAAAAGTCCTAGAACCACGCATCGTCATGACCTCTTGCTCCTCTGCAGGACGGCCCCGAGACGCGCTGAAGAGCGCCTCCAAAGCCCAAGATGGCCGACGGCAGCCCCAGTCTGCCGCCCAAGTGGCCCGGGAGCGCCCCGAGACGCGTCCCCGAGGGCAGCACAGACACGGAAGAACCACACTGCAGAGGAAGACAGGGCCCCAAGGGCCCTCCCTCCTCCCTCCTCCCCCTCCTCCTCCTCCTCCTCCTCCTCCTCCTCCT